CGCTCACGGACACACACAGCTCCCCCTCCCTAGCTTCTCTGCGGAAAAAAAGGTGCAAAACAGGTCCCCTCGGCTGAAACGTCAGCCAGCAGGGCAGAAACGCGGAGCACGCAGCCGCCGGGAAGTGCCTGCTTAGAAGCTCCCTTCTGAGCTGCACTTGCTCACGTTCACTCAGGATAATCCCCTTCATCTGGAAACGGCTTCTCTCCCCGGGCTGCACCGTGGGTTCTAATGACAACCTACTCCAGCAAGGCCCCTCGGTGCGGGGAGCTTGCCCCTCGTCGCGGCCGGAGGCAGGAGGGAGGAAAGTGGCCAGTGGTAACGAGGATGGCCGACGCGCTGCCTCGGGGGTGGCGAGGAGCAGGCAGGTTCTCATCGCTCCCACTCAGAAACCTCGCGTGGAATTCGGTTATCCCTGCCACCCCGGGGGGAAGGCGGCAGCACCGAGGGCTGCGGTGCAAGGGAAACGAACAGCAGGGTCTGCAGCAAGCAGAGGGTCGGGTCAGAAGATGGGTAAGCTTGAGAGAAGATCCCAGCCCAGCTGCAGGCTCCCGCTTTCTTTCTGGGCCCGCGCTGAAGCGCTGGTGACGTGCAGCAAGCCAGCCAAGCAACGCTTTCTCCCTTTTCTTTTGTCCCTAATGTTAGTCAAAAAACAAACAAACAAACAAAAAATCCGTGTTATTCCTTGCATGACATGATGCAGGACTCCCATTACAGCAGAGCTGGCGGAACCGATGGCCCCAACACCAGCTAAGGGCTCTGGGCCCACAAATAGCCCACCAAGAACAAATTTGTACATAATTAGTTTGTTCTCTAAGCAACGGGAAGAGAAGACAACCTTCTACTATTTAGTTAGAAGAGATTAAGTGTCCTTGGTGTCCTATCTGATAGGACAAGAACTAGCTGGCACAGCCAGCTGCAAAGGAGAGAATTAAAAACTGCAACCTCCTTATGTGTCAGGCCCACAAGACCTCTAGAGCAGGGACGCTGGAAAGCTCACATCCCGGTGGGCTGCAAGGGCCTCATAGAAAAGCTTCCCCACCAACCCCCGGTGACGTTTGGGGCTATTTCTTGGCCCTCACGCCTTGTTGCCACCAGTCCCGCCGGGCGCAGCAAGCCCGTGAGCTGCTGCCCTGCCTCGCTGCAGGCGGTGGGCTAGCAGCCCCTCGAACCGTCTCTCTCCAGCACATGTCTATGATCTCACGCTAAACTCAAAGGAGGCTAATCTTAGCATAAATTTGCACTTATCCCATCTTTCATAAGCATAACATGAAGGTGTAATGCAGAGCGCTCGCAGGAAAGCAGTGTAGCACGGAAGATTAAACGTAGGAGCTGACAGCAGGCTTGGCAGCAGCGGCTCCGGCACCATGCTCCAGGAGAAGGCTTGGCCGACGGGCCGCAGCCCGCTCCCCTCCGACCCCCTGCCAGCCGCCCGTGCCTGCTCTGGCAAACCTGGCTGCCAAAAGCTCCTCAGCTGAGTACTGTCAAAAAGAAACATTTAGGAGGCTGTGAGTGTATCTCAAATGATTTAAGCTATTCTGTCTTCACTACAGCTCAAGCTGTCCTGTCTTTGCCTCTGTGACAACCAGGTAATTTTTAGATAATTATTCTCCCCTCTTGAGTAACTTGAGAGATACAGATGTCTCTCTCCTCTCCATGTACATACAGCATCTGTGCACTACAGATGTGCCCTTACGTTGGTGCACACCTACATCCCGATTCTCCTAATTCCCACCAAAATTGGAAAGTTTTTGGATTCAGTTCTGATGCAAGCAGATGGGCCTTGCAAGTCTTAATTCAGATCTTCTGCAGTCAACTGCAAGTATCTCAAATTCACAGAATAATTCAGGTAGTTTATTTCCTACAGATGACAGGCATCATCCAGGAAAGGAAACAAGATTAAATGCGCACACACAGTGGTGCATTGCAGGCAACTTACTACTGCAATAATCGCTTCTACTTGTCAATACTAGGATCGCTGCTGCATGCAGTTCATCACAGAATTAAGTTCTATTTCAATAATCTCAGTGCATACATTAAAACCCAAAAAGCATTTAAGTATTTACCAGTTTATTTGTATTAGTTAAAAAATTGGCAGCCACTATATTTTTATGTTACAAAATGATTTTTGGCCTGCTGACAAAACCTGCTACGAGCGACTTGATGACTCCTCATGTTGTCTCTGTTCACCAAAAAGGTTCCTTAGGCAACAAGGCTCACCAACGGTGTAACTGTACTTAGCATTGAGCATAAAATGCTTCAAAAGACACATCTGGTAGAAGCCACAGATACAGGCCAGAGATCCAGTCCCTACAGATCTGATATCCAGAGGTTCAGTTTCCATTAACAGCAGAACATGGCAGTCACAGCTGGGCTTTCCAAAAGGGAAACCTGATGTGGCTCAGGTGCCTGCAGGAATCATCCACAGCAGAAGCCAGGGCAAGCCCTTCTGGAGAGAGATGAGAAGCGAAGGGGATTCCTCCTTGTTTTCTCTTTCAGATGACACTGGTGCAGCTTCAGAGCACAGAGGTTTCTCCCTCAGTGGGAGAAATTGAACATTGAATTCAGCAGGGCAATTAAGAATATGAAGTGTACAAGACTTTCAAAGACAATATATGCTACAAAACCCCTAT